TTTTAGGTGCACATTGATACAAATTTCTATTTTTGAAGGTGCAAATTGAGATTTTTGATCTTTGGAGATGCACATTGATACAAATTTCTATCTTTGAGGGTGCAAATTGAGATTTTTGATCTTTGGGGTTGCACATTGATTCAAATTTCTATTTTTGAGGGTGTAAATTAAGATTTTTGATTTTTGAGGGTGCAAATTGAGATTCGAACAATCTTTCGAAGTACAAAATGAGATTAACCCTAATTTTAACTTTAAAACAACGTCATTTTAATCCATCAAAGTGCACATTTCATTAAACACATTCTGCGACCAAATATCACTTGTCGCTAAACAAAATGAATTTTAATTTTTTTTTCTGCAACAAATATCTATTGTCGCTAAGTATTGTTTTGTTTTTTTTTTCTTATTTTTCATAAATTTGCGATCGAAAAATTATTTTGGCGATAATTTTTTGTCAACCATAAAATTAAAATTTAGTGCCGACATTGGCGCCAAATTTTTTTTTGGAGAGAATGTTTTTGCGAAGACGATTGACAACGACTACAAAAAATGGTCATCAAACATATCATAAAAACTTTTATCGTGAGAAACATTTGAAATTGTCGTCGAAAATCACTTTTTTACAACAAAATTTGTTGTTCGCAGCCAAAACTCGTCGTTAAAAAACAAATTTGTTATAGTGCCAAAAAAATCAAGTCAAATTAGATATCGAAGTCAAAAGTTATGACAAAAATACTGAATACATGTCAAATCTTTATCTTTTAAGATACTTTCATAATCCAATTTTAAATGAATTTTCTTCTAACTTGGACTCTTGTAAGGATTAAAATTGGTAATTTATCTTCAAATCTTCCTATCTCAATGTTGATTCTTCAATACTTATCAATTGTAATTCTTCCTCTAGTGATTGTTTTACTTACCTTATCCATTATTACTGTAAATCAACCAATTTACCTGCAAAAATAAACCAAACAATTAGAAAAAATATCAAACTAAAAAATCAAGAAATTTAACACATTTAATTAAAAATAATATACAATTAACCAGCTATCAGTAGAAATTAAGACTTTATTGTATTTTGGAAGTGATTTTCGACGAACCATCTAGCAAACTCTTCGAGTGGAGTCAAACATCACTTTAGAGAAAGCAATCATGTGCGCCTCAAAACAATGGCAGCTTAACAGTGTTGTTGAAAAAGTTTGGAGTTTATGCCAGATTTTTAAAAAAGGTCTTAAATTATTAGATATTATAAATAGTCCATGTAAACAAATTAAATCAATAAATACTTTAAATCCTACAAAAATGACCTATAAAAACACAAGCTCAATAAAATATTTTATAGGTTGCAATAATAATTCAAATAAAAAATTTAAATTCATGTCCAAATAAAATATTTTAACTTAAGTAAATTAGACCTTTGAATTCAGCCGTGAAATTAAAAGGCCTTAAAATTTATAATTTTTTAAGTTTAAAAGGCCTTAAAATTTATAATTTTTTAATTAAAAGGCCCTAAAAGTATTAAAAAATTTAGTCTTAATCCCAAAAATTTTAAGTTTAAACTTATCATCATAATTTTTTAATCATTCTTTCTCATTTTTACCATCAAGTTCAATTATGGTAACAAAAGCTTGAATATAAAATTTTAATTAATATTTTTTGTATTTAAAAAAAATTAGATTTATTATTATTAAAAATAAAAAATCTAATTTATTATTTCCACTTTAAGCCCCAAAATGCCTCGAACAGCCCCGCCTCAAAGCCTCAATTATATTATATTTTCTATCTGTTGGAACCCAATTTCCCAACAACAATTGCATTGGACTTGTCAAAATCATTCTCTATAATTGCCTTAATTAAGGATCTAGATTCTTTTTAATATATTTTTTTCTTCAATTCTCTTCTTGACATAACATGTATCATTAATGAGTGATGAATTTACTTGTATATAATGAATCTCAATATTTTTAAGGTTAAAAGTCCATAAAATTAACCACTAACAAAAATACTCTTAATGAAAGAGGTTATTTAAAAAAAAAAATATTATTTGGACTTAAAAATCTGACATAATTTACTAATTTAATGACGTGATTTCATTGAAATCATTTGATTAACACTAAGTTCTAATGTTTGATGGAGCTCACAGTTAATCCAAATGTCATTGGAAAATTAGGTCTCAATAGTATTGCTCATTTAAAAAAACTCTACAAGTATATCATTCTTATATTTATTACAACAACCATTCGTCACCTCCCACTACCACCACCACCACCCATTACCAGTACCCACCACCACCCACCACAGGCCACTATCACCAACATCGTTGCTAACAACCACCACCCACCACCCACCATTATCCGTCACCGTTCAACATTACCTCCACCACCATGCACCATCATCGCTTTACCCATTATTGCCCACCACTACCACCAGCTGTCGCCCCCACCACCACCACCATTACTTGCTGCCACCATCTATAGCTAATGCCGCCAACCATCATCACCTAAAACCCTCGCACCCACCGCCACCCAACACCACCACTGCCCCATAACAACCATCATCACCGTTGTCAACCACCACCACCACCTACCCACCATTGTCCAAAATTTTCACAAAATAGTAAATTGCAAAAATATTAAAAACTTGAATTAAGAAATATATATCAAAAACAATTAATTCAAAAAATATTAGAAAAAACATAACAGTGAACCCCCAAAATAATTAATTTTAATAAAATGAAATTTCTAGTTCAAAATTTTTTTAACACTGAATTTTAATATAATGAAACTCCTATTTTACTGTCCAAAATTTTCACAAATAGTGAATTTTAATAGAATGAAACTATTGGTTCGTTGTCCAAAATTTTTACAAATAGTGAACTGTAAAAATATAATATATTTAAAAATAGTGAACTCAAAAAATATTAAAAAAAAATCACAAACAAGGAACTAGGAACTCTATGAAGTCTTAGTCCATTGTCCAAAATTTTCACAAATAGGAAATTTTAATAAAATAAAACTCCTACTTCACTGTCCAACATTTTCACAAGTAGTGAAGTACAAAAATATTAAAAATTTAATTAATAAATATATATCAAAAACAGCGAAGTCAAAAAATATTGAAAAAAATAGAAACAGTCAACTCCAAAAACAATGAATTTTAATGGAATCAAACTTTTAGTTCAAAAAATTTTCACAAACAATGCACCTTAATATAATAAAACTCTTAGTTCATTGTCCAAAATTTTCATAAACTGTAAATTTTAATAGAATGAAACTTCTAGTTTACTATCCAAAATTCATTTCTTTCATTCTTTAATTGTTTTCTCTCTCTTTTATCTTTCGTTGTCCCACACACACACTCAAAAACAATGAACAAAAAAATAATGAACCCAAGACAATGAATTTAAAGACAGTGAAGAAATAGTAAACTAACAATTGTGAATATAAAAAATAGTGCTTAATTAATAAAATTGATTAGATTTTAATAAATTAGGTAAGACTTTTCATTTTAATTAAGAAAAATATATCAAAAACAATGAAATCAAAAAATATTTTTTTCGAAAAATATGAACTTAAAAATATTGAAAAAAATATAAACAATGAACTTAAAACAATGAACACAAAAATAAATTGGACAGTGAACTAAAATTACACAAACTATCAAAAAAGTATTTGTGTCTCAAAATATGCATCACAACTACTTAGAAGTAACAAGAAAAATCTTTAACCTTTCGTTGCACCATTCTAGCAGGATATCCCTTACACTTAAAACAATTTTCACAAGCAGTGAACTCAAAAAATATTGAATAACATAAACAATAAGCTTTAATAGAATGAAACTTTTAATTCAAAAAAAAAATCACAAACAGTGAACTTTAATAGAATGAAACTTTTAGTTCACTGTCCAAAATTTTCACAAACAGTGAAGTACAATTAACAACAAAATAGAAAGTTCATCTTCGATCATAAGGATTATTACCAAGAATCAAGGAATCAACATTGACACTAGAATAACTCGTACAACTTAATTTTACTATAAAAAGAAGACAAAAATGCAAATACAAAAGCAGAAGATTATATCATTGTTGATATAGTTTATAAAACCTTTATGGTGTCAAGGTGGGTGTAACGACAAATTTTGTGTTTAAAATAACACAAAAGTAATGTTAAAATTATAATTATTTGATAATTTAACATGATTTAAGAAAGTGATGTTGACTCTTTTCAGCATGCTTTTCACCTGTACAATCCTTTGATTCTCAATGAATTTGATGATGACAAGGGTCGGATCCATATTTTTCGATTTTTAATTTGGTGGTGGCTTTAATGGATTTGATGAAGAAGAGGGCTAGACCAGCGTGGTTCTGGTTCTTTGATTTGATAATGACTTTGATAGATTTGTTGAAGACAAAGGCATGATCAGTGTTATTCTTGATCTTCAAATTGATGTTGACTTTGGTGAATTTATTGAAGCTGCGAATCAGATTGACGTAGTTTTCGTGAAATTTTATGAAATTTTTTGGCATAAATATACTATCTAAACCGATTTGTTGGATAAACTTTTGATTATAAAAATATGATGTAAATAAATATAAATGTATTATCTTGATTTTATTAATTGAAAGAAAAAAAAAACAAACATATTAATGTATCCACCCAAAAATCATTTACCGACTACGCCCATAGTTTACTAGCTACCCTCTGAAGCTGGAGAAAATATTCAATGCAATGGTAATTCTGTGTCAGCATTGATGATATAATATTACTAACTAATAATAAAATCTTAAATGGATAAATTGAATCCCACATGAATAGTTATTGACTTATATGGAAGAAGAACGAGTAGTTATTAATTTACAGAGACCGGTAATTATTGACTTTGTGTGGGGTTCGTCTTTCTATTTGTTTACACATTATTGTTGGTAATATCATGTCATTAATACTGACATAGTATCACCGTTATGATGAATATTTTTTCAACTAAAACTGAATTTCAACTTCCTAGTGCGATGATAATTGTAATGTTAAGTTGTACATTTCACTACAAAAATTCAAATTTCGAGGGACAACAGATAATACTACTCCTGGCACACATAACCATAATAGATGCTAATAGATTTATTGCCCAAGAACTATAATGTCATCCCAAGTCCATCAAGGAACGGACTTGTTTACGGGACGTCGACCATATGGATGACCATGCTTTGCATTGCGTGGCCAATGGCTGAAACCATAAATATGAGATAAAGCTGCCATTGCACGACATTGTCTATAAATGACTCCATCAGTAGAAGGATTTTCTGATAAGATAATCTGGTACCCATCATCGTAAGAATCCATCCCTTTTGCCATCAGCTGCCAAACCAAGGCCCCACCAACGGTTCCTCCACTTCTTGCCAAGTTGTAGATGTTTGTATTTATAGAACTCATGTACCAGTCCCTTCTGTTTAAACTGTATCCTGGATCTTTGCTGGACTTTCCGAATTCTGCGATTACCAATGGTTTCTTTAGTATCGTCCTCGAGTCTTGCCAATGATTTGACATCCATCTTTTCATAAATTCCATTTGCGCATCATCATTTTACCAGACAACCTGTCATACAAAAAAAATTAATTAAATCCCGTGACTAAAAGCATTGCTGGCTGCATGGCAGTTGGTGGTGGTTGTGAGGTTTCGGTGGGCATTGTGGTTTGAGATAGAAATAACTCTGGTGATCTTTCAGAAATTTCGTCGAACACATGATGGAGGAGAGAAGGAAGGGGTTGAAGCGATGGTGGTGAAAAGGAAGAAAGGTTCCACTAATAAATGGCCCTTATTATATAGATAGTAATGTTCAAGCTCAGTATTAAGATAACTTGGTTACAATTTAATCGTTTGAGCCATATGAAGTATTGATATACTTGGTTTCGTGTATGGTAGTAAAGCAAAGACTACGATATCAAAGGAGCCATCACATTACAAGCAACTCGGGGCAAGATACAACTCATTTGGGATCGAGAGGTCAGTTACAATTAAATAAGGTTAAGTTATGAATTTAATAAAAATTAAGATTGATTCTAAAAGTTTGGAAATTAGTAAGGATATGGGTGGTTTACCATATGTCAGGATATGCATGAATGGTGGTAAAATCAATCTCCCTGATGAGATTGTTACTAATGAAATCTGTCCCAACTTGGTAACCAGGATTTGTTTGCTTCTTTTAGAGCAGCGAATCCCCATAGAATCCTTCCATGCCTATTTCCAGCAAATGCTTGCCATCTAAAGCTTTTACATAAGTTGCCATCTCTTGAACCCAGGCCTGCAATATCAAATATAATTAGTAAAATTTATACAACAATTGCAGTGATAGCTATGCATCAAAACTATGCTTCAAAACCATACTTTTAGGAGTTATGAAAGGACAATCCATACATTTCTCTTCATTAATTTACTCAATGATAAGCCACTCACTATTAATTCATGAAGGGCAACTATTTATTAGTGTAGTGGGTCCCCAAGCATATATAATAGGTGATTTACCTTTGAATGAAATTGAAAAAAATAAAATAAAAATTATTAGAGGCGATCTCACTTGTAAAAGTATATGTTGATGAGGCTCACAGTTATTGTTCTTCCAGAGTAGTCGACTTGGCAACGAGGCTCGTTCATGAGTCCCGACGCCATGATTGTCGGGTCATCTCGATAAGCAATTCCAGTTATGGTGTTGAATCTTGTTATGACTCTTTGCAATTAATAAAATTCTTTGAAAATTATGATGATTACAACTAACTTTTCCTTGCAAAGCGCCTACACACATGAACCCTAATCTATTTCATGAAAATTTAGTTTCCACCTTGACATGATTCTTGTAATACCCTTTGAGCACTGGATTTGTGTAGAAATCATCATTACTATTAATCTGTGCTCCTGCATTTCTAGCCCACTGCACATACTGTGTTCGCCCTCCAAAGTCATTGTAATTGTTCACGAAACTCAACATTAAGTGAATCCCACGTTTTCTTGCTTCCGAAATCACAAAATCCAGTGCCTAAACCATTAAAAATTCATGTCAGTAGTAAGAATATTAATATTTACACAAAAATAGAAATATGAATAACTATATTAGGGACAGTAAATTGCATTATTTAGTGACATGATTAGATATATTCATTTTTTACCTGAAAAACTCGTTCATCCTAAGTGCCAGGTGATATTTGCAGTGCTTTGTCACCTCCATCCGCAAAAGCCCAAGTCCGACAGACAGAAAGTCCAGCAACAGCAGCATCTCGGAACACTTCAGAGACTTTGAACCTGTCGCTTGGGTTAGTTGCAACATTCATCATCCAGTATGAGTTGAACCCATTGAAAAGGAAAGGCGAACCATTTAGAACAAACTGGGTCCCTTTTGTTCTAACAAACCCTCTATTATACATTACTAGATTAATATGTATTTTTTTTGATAAAAAACGGTGTGCTATTGATATTAATTCAAAAAAGATACATCGTAGTGGACGGAAGATGATAAAAACATCGAACATTCGTTACTCCATATACTATAGCAAATTATCTAGAATTAAGGAGAAGCCTCTTATGCCTATTCTTTAATTTTCTGTGATTTCTCTTTTTTCAATTCCTTAATATCTTAGCGGGCATCTTATCTCTTTTTTTTTTTTTTTTAATTTTATATTTTTTGAATTTTCAAACTAAATACCTGAAGACATGCACAAACACACGTTTCCAACCCCAATTATCTTGAACTGTGAGATTACAGTACAAGACATCTGAGGCTGTTGCCAGAAAATTCATAATAGGATTGAGAGTAATGAATGCATCACTGCATGTGGGGTTCAAAGGAAATCTGTTGGAATTTCGTCAGATACACTACCTGAGCCTCATTGCACCTCCCAGATTTGCTCTCCAGCATGTTATCACAACTGCTCCAACTTTATTGATCTTTACCATAATTTGGCTTTGGGTGAAGCTGATTATTATTTTTTTTTAAAGCATACAACAATTTATTTTCATTTTTCATCCGCTCATTTTCATCCCTGTTAGTCATTACAAGATAATTTCAAGATTTATTAAGTAATAGTTATAATCAAATCATAAGGAGTAATATGAAGAAAATAAGAGTCAACTCGGATAGGTTAGATTGGTTTAGAGACCAACTCTTTTTTTTTTTTTTGGGTAAGTAAGATAATTTCATAAAATCGAAAAAGGGAACATGTACACATGTGTAATCAAAAGGGATGGTTGATCTTCTTAAAACAAGAAAAAGAAGATCCCCCATCCCCATAGCAAAAGAATACATAGTAAAAAACAAAATCCAAAAGAAACCAAAAGAAATACAGGGCATCAAGATGAAGCAAACAACAACACCAAGATGAAGCACCAATCAGCAATGTAACCACCATAAAGACAATGCACCCCGCACCCATAATGCCAAACTCCAAACAGAGCATGACACCAGAAGAAAACAGAGAGTACACAAACTCCCAAAGACTAGAAACTGCTTCCATTGAAAAGGTAGTCCAAGCAAGAGGGCAGCCACCAAACACAGTGAACCTCACCTGCAGCAACAGTGACGGAGGCAAATACAGAACCAGCATAACCCAAATATAAGGAACCAAATTCAAGCACACATTAGGCGATTCAAAAATCGACTCTGGGAGGGACCATTGTCTTTGGAGCCATAAATTAGGAGGTTTTTCCCACCCCTCTGTGCAAATTAAGCTTCTGTCTAATGCAGTCAACAATGTCTTTGTAAATAGTAGTTACATTCTTAAAAGAGTTTCTAAAAGTTCTTAGGTTTCTCTCCATCCAAAGCTTATAAACAAAAGTGGACAACATCAATCTCCCAATCACACTACTCAGCTTTCTTCCCATCACGTTCCTTGCAAACCATTGGACAAAATATTTCCACGCAATACAAGGCCATTGTACATTACACTTAATTTGTAGTGACATCCATAATCTACTAGTAAAAGAGCAAGCAAAAAATAAATGATTATGAGATTCCACATCACTATGACAAAAAACACAAGAGGCCCTCTTTAGGATACCATAATCCAAAAGCTTATCTTGCGTTGGTAATCTTTGTTGCACAACAAGCCACAGAATAAAGTTGCACCAAGAAACCAAACAATCTTGGCCCAGACACGATGATTCCCCTTTACTCTAAAACAATCCCATGCAGACTAAGTGGAAAAAAGGTGAGAATTTGGATTGGGTAGCCATAGCACATTATCTTTCAAGTTCGAATCAAGTTTCCAGCTAGGAGGAATCCCTCTTTGCACATCTAGAAGTTCCTCATTTGCAATATCAGGCCACACCCATTGTGAGTTGTTGACAATACTGCAAACACGAGCTTCTTTGTCCAATCCAGAGCCACTAATGATCGCCTCACCTCTACTCTGATAAATAGGACCACTTGGATGCCATGGATCCAACCATAAGAAAGTGGATCGGCCATCTCCAATCTTATATCTAATTAGGGGGTAAACATTGGTTCCTTAATTGAAGAATTTTCCTCCAAGACCAAGATGAGTTTTGAGGGATCCTAATACGCCAAAAGCTTCTTCCCTTCAATAGGTAGGATTCAACCCAAGAGGCCCACATAGAGATCCCTTGTGGTTTAATAACATGTCATAAATGTCTTGTCATAGCTGCTTTGTTCCAAGTTTCTAGGATTTTAACTCCAAGACCCCCTTCTTTCTTTGGGAGGCCCACAGTAGATCAGGCCACCTTTGCCTCGCTGGCTCTGCTATCACTTCCAGACCATAAAAATCTTTTATTAACTGTTCTATAGATTCAACCACACCCTTTGGAAGAATCAATATGTATGCCCAGTAGACCTGAATGGTAAAAATACTGAATTAATCAGTTGGAGTCTCCCTGCATAGGATAGAAACTTGCAAGTCCAATCTCTGATCTTATAGGTGATTTGTTCAATTAGACCATGACAATTTGTGACCCTTAATCTTGTGGTGATAAGAGGTACTCCAAGGTACCTAACTGGCAGCATTCCTTCATCAAACCCCTGACATTGTAGAATACTCTTTTTGGTTTCATTTTCAACCTAGAAAAAAAAAATTCACACTTGTTTTCATTAGGTTTCAACCCTGAAAACTCCTCAAAAATTTGAAGTACATCCTTAATAGCTTTCGTTGATTCAATTGTACCTTTGCTAAAAACCATGATATTATCAGCAAAGCACAAATGTGAAATCCCTTCCTTTTTGCATCTCTAATGGAATTGGAATCTCCTAGTTTGAATGGCAGCTTTCATTAAACTATTAAAAGCTTCTATGACAAGAACAAAGCGATATGGGGACATGGGATCCTCTTGTCTAAGGCTTCTCCTTCCCTGAAAATATCCATTCAGTTCACCATTAATGCTTATAGAAAATATTGGAGTAGTAATACAAGCCTCCACCCATTGAATGATCTGTCGCGGAAATCCCATTTTGTTCATCACTTTCAAAACAAAGTCTCATCTCACACTATCATAGGCTTTCATCAAGTCGATCTTCACAGCATATCTGGGACTCCCCCTCCTAAGGTGATAATTCCTCAAAAGCTCTTGTGACAGCAGAATTTTCAGATATTCTTCTCCCCTTGATAAAGCCGTTTGAGATTTGTCAATTAACTGCGGCATGCAAGTTGTATCCTACTAGCATAATTCTTGAAAAACATTTGTAAAGTGTGTTACAACAGGATATTGTCCTATAGTCCAATAAGTGTGGTTGGGTTGGGA